AAAAATCCATATTTTCATTGTATTTGAAAAATATTCAAATCCATGGGTCTTGAATCTTTAACTTGGAAAATAGCACTTACAAAACTATTGATATCAAATAAAAAACCTCTATCGAGTTAGAGAACGAGTGACGAAACCAAAATTTGAAACACAAAATTTCTGATATCAATTTTGTGACGAAAATAGTTGGTAGATATATTTTCTTTGTACTGTGAATATAAACTTAATATACATTTGTAAATTCGGAACGTTGCTTCATTGCGTCAGTATGAACTCAAAGTAAAAAGGAGAAAATTTCTGCAACGTTTTGAATATATAAATGTATATTAAGTTTATATTCACAGTACAAAGAAAAAATATCTACCAACTATTTTCGTCACAAAATTGATATCAGAAATTTTGTGTTTCAAATGTAGGTTTCGTCACTCGTTCTCTAACTCGATAGAGGTTTTTTATTTGATTGTATAGTCCGTTAAAATATCAGAAATAACAAGCGCTTGGAATACATAATCAAGGTTGGTTATAAAAACAAAAAGTATAAAAATGAAATTGGGCGAATCAGATTTGAACATCATTCCTCGAAAGCAGTTTTGATCTGTTTTGTCTCACTTTAGAAAAACAAATTATTTTCAATAAAACTTGAATAAAATGATGGCTCTAACCAGTTCTAACGAGACATGTAAAATGAGCAAAAAAAGATTCCCAATTATTATTGATAAAATGTCAAACACTTTGTTAATTTTACCTTTGGCTGAGTTTAGTCTCTCAGCCATAGACTAGTGGTTAGCGTGCCAGGTTTGTGAGCGTGAGGACACGAGTTCGATTCTCGGTCAAATTTGGTCCGGTATTTTTCCACCGTGATTCGCTCAGGAATCGTCAGTGGTTTAATGCGGAATAGATTTGGCCGGGTTTCGGGCTAGTGGAGTGCTTCGGAAGGGCACTTAAAGCCGTCGGTCCCGTGTGTGTGCATAACGAAGATATGGGCTCAGCATAGACACACGTAAAATGGAGTGCCTTCACGTCAGGTTGTTGTATTGAATATGTGAGAGATTGCAAATACAACAACCGTAAAAAGGTAGTGCGCCATCTCTGGTGAATATACCGGTAAACCAGCGATGTGTGCATTCCTCCATTGAAATAAGAAGAGCCCAACGCCATCTAGGAATGAATGGAATTCTTGTGACTGTCATGATAATTGACTTGAGAAGAAAGCCCTGGTCACTGGCCCTGTACGGAGGCTAGTTACATGGCTTCTATAAAGTGGGCCATACCGTGGGAAGCATTCTCCAAGCAATCGAGTGACAGCACAAGACGGGTCGTCATGCAATAAGTAACGAAACTTGAGCATCGAGTGAATAACTCCCCGTTTAATCCAATAATCCAATAATCCAATTTTACCTTTCCGCACACACCTAGTGTGTAAGGGGAAAGTAGTGCAATGGGTCAAAATTTACGTGATCTCAAAAACATGTTTTCTGGACGTTTTCGAGCCTTGAGAACCCGAATCAAGCCGCTTTGAGCATGTTTGTTGTGGGTCTGTTCCACGTCGTACGTCGTCCGCCGTACGCAAAATTTGTTCATCGATTATATCACCCCCCCAGAAAAGCTATTTAAAATCTGACTATACATGATGATTGGGGGTTGCGAGGAATAGAAATCATAAGATTTTGAGCGACTTTGGTTGATGGACAAAAGTTTCATGTCTGAACCTATGAAAAATAGTCAAATTTTTGTCCAAAGGTCATATTTTATTTATACTTAAGCACTAAAAATATGTATTGGCTTTTTTTTTGGCAACATCAGATACTTAGAATTACCGAAGATAATCTTTCTATGCAAAAGGTCTACTCATGTAGATGGCGGCAATGTGTTTCGTGAGTAAGCTTTTCCATATAAATACATGGAGGAAATGCAGCTATAGTGTTAACAAAGGTTAATATTTTGCATAGAATCGCACTATGAAATGGGATGCAAAATATTTCGCATAAGATTTTGTGGTGGTTGCTGAATGTTTTCGCTTAGTATTGGATTGCTTCAAAACAATTCGAACACATTGCATAGAATATATGAACCGGCTAGAATATTCGTGACCTCAAGAAATTTGTCAAAATAAAACTGCAACGTGCCTATACATTTTTCATATGAACATGTTGCTCTTTTAATTTAACAAATTTCCTGAGCTCACGTGGTTCGACATAGCGATGAATGTTTCACTGTCCAAAATGATGAATTTTTCAGTGCAAAATGCTATGAGGTGAAGTAAATACCCAATTTTTGACACCTTATTGAATTTTTTCATTACTTATTTTGATGATTCCTAATGACCGGGTCTAAATTTGTTGTTTTGGTTCAAATTTTGATGTGCTGTAACCATTAAAATCACCAAAAACGAATTTTTGCTTGACCAACCCGGTTTTCGGTACTTGATGTCAATTTTGGAGGGTTGGAGCATTTAAATAGGGAATACGACCGTACTTTTTGCTTTCTCTAGAATCTTTGTCTTCATACTAAGTCCATGAAACACAATATATGGTTCGTAGGCACATGGGTTCATCTTTAGACACATGCGAAATTTGTTTTGAACTTAGCCGCCACAACCATTTGAGACACTTTTTCGTAAATCCAATTTGTACGTCTCCGCGAATGGGTGTATTTCATCGAATTGAGTTTGATAGTAGTCCCGAGGTACTGATAAACGTGCCGTGTGCATTGGTTGATATTTTTGATTTTGTTTATGTGGCGCAATAAACGCCTGAATTTACTGTCAAGACTTTATGGACATATGTTAACCATCTCAATGTGGAATTGTGAAAAAATTACATCTACCATTTGATTATGAAACTACTGTTAACATTTAAATTAAGGGTCATTGACACTTTTTTTAAACACTTGTCTCTCTCTGGGTGACGTCCTTTCTCGAAGCAAACAACATTGGACGAGGTGGACAATT